ATAGGTCACTAAAAAAATTCATTAAAAAATGTATTCATCAACAATTACACTCTCCCCTCCACCAACTTTTCCAGAATTATTTAATGATAAATGAAGAGAGTAATCAATAAAAATTAACAAGGTGAAGCATTCAATGGGAAACATTCCCTGGGGCCTGAAAAACATACTTATCTGGTGATTCATGTCATGACCCCATGACCTTTATCACTGAGGCTACAGGAAACATTTCATAAAAATATTAGGTGAACTAATGGGTTAACGTTTTATTTACTGTAACAATTCTTTTAACAGTTGATAAGTCACACTCATGCCAATGACGGCAGATGATAATGTTTATATAATTTTATATAACCAGCTGCAATGAGCTTCAATGCTACCTTTTAGTTGACATCATAGTGAATGCAAAATTTGTCAAAATAACACAAAAGTAACTGATTCCAGATATGTGTTTTAGATCACTGATGCATACATACAAGGCACACGGACAAATCTCTAGTATATCTAGCAGAGGTTAAATAAAAGTTGGAGACTTTACGGATGAAAAAACCGACCTAGTCAAATGTTACAATCGAAACAAGAACACTGAGCTGATCTGAGACTCTGGTGATTGCGAGAGATGGCAGATCATGAACACTCATGTACTTGCATGGCACAGGATAATGATGTTGTAACAGAACAGTCACAGAGCTTTTGTAAAGAAACATACTCCCACTTGACACATCAGGACTGTAAACTAATATGAAGACATTGATACAGCTAGTTTATCCTCTGAAGAAGAAATGTAACATAAAAGCTCAAGGTTATAGCAGGGCAGACTAGGCCCTTAGCTTTGGTTGGTAGTTGGTCTAGGAGAGAAGAGCTGACAGACAGATAAAGCACTGCTCTTCTGGTACAGCAACCTCTGTAGCCTTGCTTTGTTCCAAACATATTGGTGTTCCTTTCCTTGGAAGTAAACAAGGCAGGATGAGAGTAGGGTCGTGCTGCATGAGAAACACATGATGTCTACAAATACTGTCCAGGTTTGTTCTGTGCCATGCAATGGCAACAATAGTCCTGAATTGGCATTCTCTGGATGCAGGTCTTGCTGGCCACACATGTATTCCAAGAGGAAATCTCGTCTGAAAGAAAATAGTTTCACTTTTGTGCCAGGACACTCTGTAGTAAGAGAGGATGAATGAGCGGATAGGCTTGCTGGCAGGGCCACAGTAGGTACAGGAAAAGCAATGGACCGGGCCGATATTCTCAATGCTCTCAAGGAGGCAGGACCAGAAGATGACTCAGGAGACAACACTGAATCTGCAACACTCAAAAGACTACAAGAACTTCCTTCAGTTCAAAAGAGGTGTCACCAAACATGAACACTATACAGGTAGCCAAAGAAGAAGAGTAAACCAACACAGAACTGGTGTTATCAGTAGCCATACGCACCAGCCGTCTTTACTTTCCCGGGACTGCACCCGGTACCCACTCAAGGCTGGGTCAACCTAGGAGCCAAAGTCATTTTTCTCCCTGAATCTCACAATATAAAACACTATTGTCTGGAAAGTCGTCAACAAAAGCAAACCAACATAGCTGTCAAGTCAGTGGGACAAAAACAGATCTAATCTTAACTGACTCACATGACCCACAAGACACAGCAAAAAGGTCTGTGTATTTCGGGTTCCAGCAGAGGGATGTTACAGCCAGCTTCTTGGCCTTCTCAAAGGTGAACTTCCACAAAGGCAGCAGTGTTCCCTCCTGGTCTCTGAAGTCATCAGAAATATCCTCCCAATACTTAAAGTCTGTGCACATGTTAGAAGAGAAAGATATGTGACATTATTTACATACACAATGAAAGGTAGGTGATCCCGGGTTTTTTTTACTTGGAAAAATATGTTGGTACTCATTACTAAGTATCTTAAACAGGTGCCACTAAACCACAACAAAGTGTCTTATACAGTCAAGTCAAGGACCCTTTTTTTCATGCAATCAGGCCCATTGGACATATAGGGCTAGATCTATATTTTATAGACCAATTGGCACTTGGTTGGCGATGTGGTCAGCATCAGGCTGCCCGTTTTTACTTCCTAGGACTTTTACCTGGTATCCACTCAAGGGTGGGTCGACCTGGCAGCCGAGGTCATTTGTTTTACAAGCTTGGTTCCTCCAGGACCCAAACCTATGACCTTCCAGTCTGCAGGCAAGCAACTAGCCGCGGGCCCTTGTAATACAGTATCGTTAAAAAATTGGCATCTGAAAAGAAAAGTTGCCGGTACTGTGAACCATTGAATACAACCAGAAAAAAAAAAGTTGACACTGCCACTGAGATGTGAAGTGTTTGACCATCCAACATTCTAGGGTACAGCATATGAGGTGGTGGAAATTTCCTTCCTTGTCACCTTATCTTTCCAGACTTCTTAGCATTCACCGGCTGTAAATTCCATCGGAAAGTTCTGGTTGTTCATCCACTTCTGGACATTTAGTTTGTTTCAGAATTTGAGTTTTGCATGCACATCCCTTTTACAGATCTGACTTATCTGTATGCAGACTGCTGGTTCCTTGTCTCTCAGGCAGATGCACTTTGACTTCAAAGGAAGCATCCCTAATTAGTCATCCCCTACGACATGCTTTTTAGCAGGCAGTGGGTCTGTTCCTTTTTTGTGTGTGCTTAGAACGGGACCCTGAAACCCATACGGGGAGACTATATGAACAACAAGAGTTAGTTACCTTGAGCGATGTCATCATATGTGTTCTGGTTAACCATACGTTCTACAATTTTGACTGAAGCTTCCATGCGAGAAATATCATCACTCTGTTAAGAACAGAAGACTATGTTAACACAAATAGGTTACACAGTTGTAAAACAACCAAACATGTTTTATTCTTGTTCTCTGCAATTTTGTTGCTGTTGGTGTCATCTACCTACAGGAACTGTCTGTCTTCTACTTTTTAATTCTGCTTTGTATCTCCTAACGAAGTATAGTCCTTCAAGCAGATTTTGGAAGCTTTTATTTAAGAAATATCATTCTGTTGAGAATAGAATACCGTTTTGACACAAATAAATTACTTTTGTTATAAAATCGTGCATGTTTTAGAAATTTTTCTTTTAAACCTTCTGAACTATGAATAATGTAAATACTATGCTTTATATTTTTACTTGCAATGTTTATTTATCTCTAGGGACTAAATATTTTATATTTTTATATTATGCCTTTTATCTCCCAGTGGAGCTCAGGCCTTCAAAAAATTTTACCAAGTTATTTACAGACGTGGTCATGACTTGTATGATTTAACAGGTACAGTTTGAGATGAGGTAGCTAGGTTCATGCCAACTCTCTAAAGATTATTTTTACAACATGCAGAGAATGCTAGACTGTTAGTATTCTTGACTTCGTTTTTGAAAAGGTTTCTGAAGACTGTGATGTAGCATGACATTGAGTCAATGAGAATGTATTCTTGAATAAGCTTTGGTAGGACAGTGATGAAGTGTTATAATGAGTAAAAGAGATTTTATACTTGAATAAGCTTTGGTAAGACAGTGATGAAGTGTTATAATGAGTAACGGAGATTTTATACTTAAATAAGCTTTGGTAAGACTGTGACATAGCATGACAATGAGTAAAGGGGAATGTATACTTGAATAGGCTTTGGTAAGACAGTGATGAAGTGTGATAATGATTAAAGGAGAATGTATATATATACATATATGTGTGTGTATGTGTGTGTGTGTGTATGTGTGTGTGCGCATGCGTGCATATGTGTGTGTGTGTGAGTGTGTGAGATTAACATAGACGCACATATATGCAGTTTTCAATGTTTGAATTTCAATGTATGATGCTGTTTATTATTCGGTTCTCCTCAATATACAAATAAGGCAAATATACTCCTGTGTGCTCCTGGGCAAATAAAACATCAAGGAACATTTCAGTGACATCAATGTGTTTTATTTCGAGCAAATAATGGCTGTTAAAACTTACTCCTGGTTCTGTTGCGACAAATTTCTTTCTTGCTTTCCCTTCATCTTTTCTAGAGGAGGTAACTTTCTTCTCTTTAGACTTCTCCTGTGGATATCAATACAATAAACATAATTATTTTTTTAAGAAGTTCAATAAAGAGAATTATTTTATTAAGAAGTAGTTTCACGTGTGGATTTTCCAGCTCCATTTTAGAGAGATTGAGAAAGCTTTTGACAGCGTCCATAGAGACGGTCTGTGGAAAATTTTACGACATTATGGAATTCCAGAAAAATAGTCAACATAATTGCTCTCTTCTATAAAGACTTTTCCTGCAGTATAAAAAATTACAATACATCTTTCCCAGTAAAGACGGGTGTAAGACAGGGATGTGTTATGTCATCTCTCCTCTTCAACCTTGTGATTGATTAGATACTAAAGAACACAGTAGACAGGACATTAAGAGAAATACTTTGGACTCCATTCACCATGCTTGAGGAACTTGATTTTGGAGATGATATAGCACTCCTATCGCATAAACATGAACATATACAAGAGAAAAGTAACAGACTACACTGTACAGCAGAAATGGTGGGACTGAGAATAAATACAAAGAAAACTAAGATCATGACAAACAGTCCAAACCAACAACCAGTGACCATAAGTAACCAATCACTTGAAAATGTAGAACATTTCACATATCTTGGCAGTGTGGTGTCCCTACTGGGAGGGACAGAGGAAGACATACAGTCACGCCTGAACAAAGCTAGAGCTGCTTTTGGAAGGATGAGGCAAATCTGGAAATCCAACAATTACTGCAGAGGTACAAAACTCAGACTCTACAAGAGCATCATTTTGCCAGTTCTTCTTTATGGAGAGAGAATGACCAAAAAGGATGCATGCAAGCTGTCCACCTTCCACCACACATGTCTACGTAGAATTATCAAAATTTTCTGGCCAGATACAATCTCAAACACTAAACTACTTCAAGCCACAAACCAAGAAACTTTAGACAGAATGATTACCAAGAGAAGATGGAAATAGCTTGGCCACGTTATGAGAATGACTTCTGATATACCTGCCAAAACAGCTCTCACATGGACACCACAGGGAAAGAGAAAACAGGGGCGCCCAAAAACAACATGGAGACGAACCATGGAAAGTGACCTGAGTGCGGCATCTTTGACATGGAAAACTGCACTGAAGATTGCACAGGACAGGAAAGCATGGAAAGTCCTCTCTGAAGCCTCATGTGCCACTAGGCATAACGAGAACTGATGATGATGATTTTAGAGAGCAAAAAATAGACCCACTGCCCTATTAACAAGAAAATTATAGGAAGCGACTAATTAGGAGTGTTTCCTTCATAGTTGGAGTGCATCTCTCTGTGAGGCAAACAGCAATCTGCATACAAATAAACCAGATTTGTAAAACGGATGTGCACACAGGACCCAAGTTCTAGATCAAGACAAAGTACAGGAGGAGTAAATGAACAACCAGAACTATACACTGGAGGTTGCAGCTGGTGAAGGCAAAGAAAAAGAAGTGAGTAGTAGTAACGAACCTATTTCGACACACTGAAGTGCACTGGGTATATGATACTAGCATGATATTTTTTATAGACCAACTGGCACTCAGCAAGTGATGTGGTCAGTATTACGTGGGCTGCTTTTACTCTTTAGATTATTTCCTTATGCCCATTTTTAAACTGGGTGGACCTGGAATTTCAGATCAACGTTTAACAACTTCCTCAATGAGGATTCAAATCTATTTCCAGCAGGCTTGCAGACATGTGTGCTAGCCACTGTGCTCTTAGAGTTTAAGTTAGTTGCATATCCTTTACAGGACGTCACACACCAACCTCTGCCCTCGTTGACCTTTGTGGTTTTCCTAGGTAATTTTTTGTGTTCAGTATTTTGCCGCTACTTTCTAAGCTCCTAGAGTACTGAATAATTTCAGGTTACAAAGGAGAAGGGGGAAAACCTAAATACGGCTATCCTCCGAATAACGGGCACTAAAGATGACGGCCGCAAAATATCCTTTCGAGCCACAGTCACGTGACCTTATTTGCGGTTCTCCGAAAACTGCATTACCACCCCTAGGGCCTCTGATGCTAAGCCACTGGGACCCAAACATCAGATCCTTTACAAAACTTTGCTCTCTTCACAGCATGACTTAAAGTCTCTTTTCTTTGGCCAATTCTCCAGCCCTATGTGTTTTTATTAAGGCTGTACTGAATATTCGCTTCGTATTCGCTTCAGGGCCAAATAGTGGGTCTAATAACTATTCGGTATTCGGCCGAATAGTTGCGGTCGGGCCGAATAGTGCTTACCTTACTCCCGTTTCTGCATACACTGTGATGGACTGAAATAACTATCTCATTAACACAATAGTTGCTGTTGCCTAAGTCTGTCATAGCAGGGGAAACTGCTACCTGGTTGCGTAGTACAAACTGCATAAAATGCCAACCACAGTGTGTGTGAGAGAGAGTGTGTACTATGTGTGTGTGTGTAAGAGAGAGAGAGAGAGAGAGAGAGAGAGAGAGAGAGAGAGAGAGAGAGAGAGAGAGAGAGAGATAATGAGATTATGCATTTTTCGTTCTTTCAGGGTGTCTTCGCCCAAATCAGATTTGAAGATATTGCTAACGAGAATATGAAGGTGCGTTTAAATTATATCGAACGAACGGCCGAGCGAATGATGGTTTTGAAAGAGGCGGGAGCCCGAAGACAACTAATCACAAACATCAGAAGGAAACAGTCGTCATTTTTCAGCCATGATATGAGAAGAGGGAAAATTTACCACTGGAAAGATCTGTGGAAGGAGGGATAGAGCAAGTCAACGATAAAAGATTCTTGATAGTCTTGTTGCATGGCATGAAGATTTGTCAGCACGCGAACTTATACATGCTGCAGGAGAAAGCAGATTGTGGAGAGGCATGATCACCCACGTCAGTCGGCAAGGCACATGATGATGATGATACACTATTCGTATTCGTATTGGGCCGAATAGTTGGTCCCACTATTCGTATTCGGCCGAATAGTGAAAATCACTATTCTGTACAGCCCTAGTTTTTATGTCAGATGCATCTTTGATGTCTTGTATCCACCTTCACAGAGGTCGACCTCTGCCTCAGTTCCCAGAAACTGTACCCTCCATCACCACCATTATGGTATAAAAAGATTTTAATTGTAAATTTTGACAAAAAAATTAAAAATATTTATTGATTAACTACCTATTGCTCTGGATGTATCAGAAAATATTAACAGAAATAGGACAAGAGAATTTACCTGTTTTTCAAAATCCTCTTGGTAGGCATCATATATCTCCCACTGTGTCACATTTGCAGCAAATGTTGCTCGTGGCGGAGGTTCAGTCACTGTACCACGGTCCTGTACAAGTAAAAATACAGGCCTTGCACTGATTTCCTAATACACAGCCAACCTTGTTGTAAATAACTCTTAGTACACCACAAGCCCTTTCCATGGCTGGTTGGTTTTTGTGGCTATTGTTTTTCCAGGATGAGGTAGCCAACCTCAAGCCCAACCCTACCCTTAGTCGCCTCTTATAAATGTCTTAGCACTGAAACCCACAGGGGTCAATAAATAAAGGAGGACTAAAAAATACATGGAGGAGGGAGTTACAGAGTGAAGTTAAAAAGATGGGGAGGACATGGAGAGAGCTACCATGCGATAGCAAAGAATAGAACGACTTTATGTGAGTTGGTTGAGGGCATATGCTCCATTTGGGGTTAGAAAGGCAGAAGAATAAAAAGATACCACAAGCCATTTTGCTCTTTGATTCATTTCTGTTAGTCTGTTCATGTCAAGGTTGCCTCTTTGAAAATTAAATAGACATGGTTTTAAGGTATCATTTTTTAAGTTTATCTAAACCTTTATTGTCAAAATGGCCTGCAAAGGCTAAAGAAATAAATTCAGTTAACAACTCTCAGATTTACTACTTCACTATTTACATACAATCATGACAAAAACTCTGCTCTGCCTGTAAGCTTCTCAGCTGGTCACTTGTCTGTCTTTACAGATGTTTAGTGTTACACTGTAGTTGAGAGAACGGCATGGAAATCATAGCCCATGGTGAGTGTGACAGGCAAGACAGCTTGCTTTGAGACAAATTGTCCACATTAAGTGCCCGGCATTTGAGGACCACTGCTATCACATGCTGACATGTTTCTTCTCAAATGTCCAGTTGTAAACTTACACAAAATTAATTTTCAATTTTGTTAATATTTCCATCCTATTTTTTCCTCTTCACATAACTGGTACTGTTAAGTGCAGGAACCTGATGTATATGTTGATGAATGAATCTTAACACTAACGGACATGGTAGGAGTGCTTTGAGGATAACTCAGCTCACAACTCATCATACTGATGAAAAAAATACACACTTACAATCGACAGATCGATCAGTGTATCCCCTCTGGACAGCTACCTAAAGGTTCACCATACAATCCCAAGATCAAAGAATTTCAATCTGGATCGCAGGCCAACAAGGCAGATTCCACATACCCTGTTCAACCTCCAAACAATTTACAGTTAGGGCACATGTAATGTTTGCATCAGCCCGGTGTAACTTGCAGTCCTGTATGGGTAAGGATGTGGACATAATTACAGTTTTTAGCTGGACTAATAAAATTCTTCAGCTCAGTGGCTAAGACAATGCAAACGCTTCGTAATGCCAGGATGCCGGGTGCAATCCCAGCTGCGGGCCATGCGCCTTGAGTTGGTTTTGACAGTGGTATCAAGAAAGCCGACCGTTCAGAAGGCAATGGCAAACTACTGGACGTAAAGTTTCCTAGAAAAACCACACAACAGCCAGGGGCTGTTGGGGTTGGTTCTGCAAGTCCTGTAAAGGATACACAACTAACCTAACCTAATAAAATTCTTACCCGAAAAGGGTTATTGTAGGTCTGTGCTGCTCTTTCGCTAAAATTAAACTGATTTGTCAGTTTCTTTTCTTTCTTTCTTCCCTTTCTTGTAGTACCCTTGGTTTCTCCTTCCTCTCCTTCCTCTTTTGTATCAGCTTCCTGTGCACCTTCATCGGCTTCATCTCCTCTCTCTGAAGGCTCTCGCTTTTCTTCTGTGTAGAGAAAACCATCACATGTTTTTAAGTTTTTTGTTTTTTTTTGGTACCTTGGAGAAAAGGTGAAATATTAAGGATCCAATATTTCATGCAATCAAAGTTTATTGGTAAATAGTGTTAGGCAAAATTTATCGACAAATGAGAAATCAATAGGTTATGTTGTCAGTTTCTCAACAGCTGCACAGAGAATTGCATATTTTTAGGCTGTCAAAGGACCACAATGTCATGACATTAGAGGTAGCCACAAAATTGTTAACACAATAACAGCCCAGCCGTGAAATGTATCTACATGTATGATACTTGCAGTCTTTGAATTCTTTATGGTAGCAATGTGTTGCATAGAGTTTTTAAAACAACAACCTGTATAAACATTTTGATAGACTGGCAAAGAAAGGTGCAACACAAGAACAACCACCTACAGTGACAACCCTACAGACAGCAAAAACACTTATAAAAGTTAAACAAAGAGACTTGGTTGAACAGATGGGCCATGGGAGACATTGGAAGAGGTTTATAGACATTTGGCCGGCCCTGATCCTAATGACAGCATTACCCATCTAACAAGAAGGGACCACCCACTATCTTCAGACTCAGAACACAACATACTCCACTCAGTGGACATCTAAACAGAATACAGCCACAACACTCCCCAGAGTGCCAGCTATGTAACTACCCCTACGAAACTGTTGAACCCCATCTTTTTGACGGCCCAAAACTCAGCGAGACTATAAGAATGCTACTCTTTCCAACACCAGACAAGTTAAACACCTTGTAAGGAGGAAAAGAACAGCTTGTGAAAACATACAAATTTCACTACATGGCATTGGGCCAGAGGGTGAAAGTTCAGGCATCGCTGGATCGATAACAACAACAACATAAACATTTTTATATTAAATTTATTCAGACATGAAGAGATGCATACAAGTTACATGTGATGTTTGAAGTTACTACAGGTGCTTAAAGTGATTCCCATTAGCCTCCAAACACTTATTAATGCAGTGAACAGCTGCTTGTGTTACGTTATCCAAAGTGTCCAGTGTGACTGCTGCACACAGCTACCATAATTCAATCTAAATATGGCAGAATATGTCACGTAATGGTGACATTTTTTTAAACAACTAGCATGCATTTCATTGGTCAATGATAACTATGTCTATTCTCTTTATCAGTTATATAACCAGTGAGAATTCTTACAGCCATAAGATTCAAATATTTGTAATGGTGAAAATGAAACAAAACTCACAAACATATGTAATAACACACATGCAACACACACATGCATGCATGTGCACACACACACAGACACACACTAATAGTTAAACAATCACTTGGGTATAGCTTCTAAACTGCATTAATGAGTAAATGATCCACACACAAAAAATACCATTAAAAATATAACATTAAAAAATTTGACATACAGAATTACATTAAATTAACTATTGTTTCTGTGTGATGCTTAGCAGGTCATGGGGTCATGTATGTCAGCAAAATTAAGCGGCAGCTCCAAGGAAGCTCCCCATTTGTCGACTCTTATGACATGCTTTCAGGTAGGCATTGGGTCTGTTCTTGTTTTCCTCACAATGGGACCGAAGACCCACACAGGGAGGGTCCTTTCTTCTTTCTTCTTGCATCATCACACTGTTGCTAGGTTGTAACCCAGTGTTGTGGTTTCCAGTATTTATCTTGCATTTATTGGATGACTTAAGTGATGGTTTTGTTATCCTTCTCCAGGTTTCAGTATCACCGTCTATCAACATTTTCCCTAGATCTTCCTCTCTCTTTACATCCAGATACTCTGCTGTCAAAGGTCTTAAATACAGTGTGGTCTGGCTGCATACTTACTAATGACCAAACAATTTCATCCTCTGTCTTTCGATGTCATTTTTCTTCTTCATGTTCACTAGCTGTACACTCTAGCAGAAATTTCTGGTTGTTCGCCCACTTCTGGACTTTAGGTTCCACGGCTGCGCCCTTTAGTTCACTAGTGCAATTTTTACGGAGATCCATGAAAATCGTCACCAGAGCTACGAAGTTCATGCTCTGTGCAGTGCTCTCGGCAAGCGGCTTGCCATTCTGTGGAGACTCAGCCATACTGGATAAAAACTTAGTGCAATGAAGTCGATCCTATTGCTTTTAACTATTTGTTTTTTAGAACTTGAGTTTTGCGTGCAAATCCATTTTACAAATCTGGCTTTTTTTTAAAGCCAAATGCTGGTTTCCTGCTTCTCATACAGATGCATGCCGACTTCAAATGGAAACCCCTAATTAGTTTGCTCTAAAGACAGTGCAAGTGTCTATTACTTTTTTCTCCCACAGTGGCACAAAAGGGACCCTGGAAACCCACTCAGGGGGAAAGTCATTCAATGCAGTTTAGGCATGGTCTTGTTCAAGCCTTCTCTCTAGTGCTGGTAATGGTGATCCTACCTTCTTGTGTTGTTGCCCCTTCTTTTTTGTAAATGTTACCTTTGCATGATCTTTCACAAAGATTTCATTTTTGCAGATACAAAAACAGAGAAGTGTTTTCAACTGAGTAAATCTATGACCTACTAACAAAATCCAGGTCCAGTCTTCAGACGTCATAAGGTTCTACAAGTAAAACAGTAACCAGCCTGTGGTTATTGGAAGTAGAACTCAAATGTTATATTAGCAAGAAGAAAGACAAAGTATTTTCAGTATTTTCAGTGCAACCAGCAAACTATGGAAACAACAAAAACTTTTTCCCTATCATGATAGCGGAAACTGAGCACCTCTTGGATTGTTCAGATATTAACCACATAGTTTCTTGTAACAGTGAGACCTCAATAACACAAATCTGTGACAAACATTTGTTCAACACAAACACAATTTTGGTCCCAGCAGGGATGTATTATTTATTATGTACCATTATGTTAGCACACATTGAAAAAAAAAAATGTTCCCTTGATTTTTCAGAATCTTGGATAGAGGGTTAATGAGATTTACATTACTTATAACAACCCAAACCAGCTGTAATATTGTTACCTTCCTGAATTTCAGTAATTCCCATGCGAGCAAATTGTTTCTTTGCTTCTTCTGATTCCTTGTGAAGTAGATTTCCATCAATCATAAAATGGATGGCTAGCTGATCAACACTTGGTATTTGTTTATATTGACGTTCCTAAGTGAGAAAAGAGATGGAAAAAAAAAAGAAATATCGAATGGACTGAAATATTACTTTTCTTAAAGTGACAGTAGATGCTAAGAAAATGAACTGCTTTTCTTGGCCAATTTGTAGTGGTTTTTCTCCACTCTTTCAATCCCAGGCATTTGGTAATTTTACCTGTTTTATTCAAAGCAGACTTGAATTGAAACTACTAAAAATAATGATATTATCACAATCGACATCACTGCATATTGGGCATTCACATGCATGTTCAATCCTCTAAAGAAGCAACTACTCCAAGGTACCTCTGCTGATTGTTCTCATGAGGAGTTGGTTATAATGTCCCCTATCTTGTCCTCAAAGATGGCATCAACGTGCTTCCTCGTGCATTACTTCAAGGTCATGCAATCATGTTAACGTCAGAGATTCATCATTATCCACCAGCCTAGCCCATACAGTACACAATAATATGAGATCTGCCCATGCTTCTTCCCAAATGCACTGATGCGTTCCCATGCATGCTCTATCCTCCAGTGCAGAAGCCACTCCACAGTAAAAGTAGCTGGATATGCAGCAGTTGTAATATTAACCATATTAGATAGCAAGACATATAGTAATGCTTTGGAACGACTCATTATCAAATGACTCGCAAATTGGTATGGGCGATCAATCCCCACCACAACCTGAGATCTTCAACATTATGCTGTGACAAAAGGCCATCAAGTATCTTCTCATGTTGTCTTCCTCTACCATATATCCTACATATATCGTATCCTCTTTCCTCATCTCTTTCCAGTTGTCACAATATTTTCCAGTTTCTTTCTTCTCACATTGTAGAATAGGTTAATATAATATCTGGATCAGATACATAAAGCTAGTTAAAATATCTAATGAGGTATCTATAAATATACAGTGTGTTTCTTGCTACTGAAAGAGTTAAAAATCAGTTGATGTAATAGTAAAACATCAAATTAGTTTGCATTTTTGGAGGAAAAAAGGAACAAAACAAAAGAAAGCTTCTTTGAATATACTCAAAGACACATTACCTGACTCTGCAGAAAGAAAATCTCTACGCTCACTTCTACTTCTCACATAAAATAATTCTTAAACCTCCCCCCCCCCCACTCCCCCCCCCCCCCCCCCCCCCCCATCCCCGAGAACTCTAAGAAAAATAGGTAATGACCCCATTAAGATTCCTGAAAAATTCTATAAAACAACAATTTTTACACAGGTCACTAATAAATTCATGTAAAACTTATTTACCAATATTTTAAAAATATTTGTTGAAATACATGAAGATACATAAAAATTAGCAATCAATAAACATAAACGGGATGAAGCATTAAACTAAATACATCCCCTGGGGCCTAAAAACAGTACATGTATCAAGTGACTCATGCCACGACCTTTACCAATAAGATCTATTAGAAAATCTGGCGTCATCTTGGCTTTTAAGAAAGACCCTATAGCATAAAGGAAAACACCTCTAAATGGTTTTTTTAGGTAATTTATTCATTTACTGACTTCCTAAATGTTTGCACAAGTGCAAACTCAGCCAGTTGCATTAACTAATCATCTCATAAACAGGTCAAGATAGACAAGTCAGAAAAGTGACATTTATGGGGAACTAGACCCAACAGGAAGTGTCAATTTTTTGGGCTTCTCAGGCGGAAAAGGTTAAATTCTTACTTTGGCTGCTTCATTAACCCACTCAATACCACATTCTGCTTCACAGTATTACTATTTTAACTATTTAGAGAAAATTTTTGTTTTTCTAAGTCTTCTTCATAGAATTCATCAGCTGTAAACTCTGGCAGAAAGTTCTGGTTGTTCATCCAATTTAACTCTTTGAATCCCAGGCGGTTTAGCCTCACAGGCCCAAGGGGTAGTAAAGAAAAACATAAAATCAGTGCATCTTTTGTTTATTGGGCTGCTAGGTAGGAATCTATGACAGTATGACACGTTCCTTGGGACTCAAAGAGTTAAGACTTCAGTCTTGTTCCAGCACTTGAGTTTTGTGTGCACATCTGTTACATCGATGTGGCCTAATTGCATGCAGACTGCTGGTTCCTTGTCTCTCAGGCACTCTGATTATGAAACAGCCCTAATTAGTCACACATATTGTACTACACTTTTGTTACAGGGGTATGTGGAGTTTTTCTAAGTAACATCTACTGGGGATAGGTAGAGAAACAATTTTCTGAATCTGACATAACAATTACTGCTTTAAAAAACATTTATAAACGCTGGGTTACTACCAATATAAGGCTGGATATAAGAAGATGTAAGAAAAAGAAGAAGTGATTGTTAAATTTAATGTGGCAACAATGTACTATACAGTAGAGTTCAGAAATCTTGCTTAAGAAGTGTATCAAATAAATTGATTGAAAAACAATCCATCTGCTATTGCATTTTAACACTGACCCACTGTGATGTGAATCACTATTTGCAAACACTAAAGAAAAATGTATCAACAAATTCTCAGAATACAATACATCCAGAATAAAAATACTGACACCTAACAGTAATTGAACAGTGAGAATTTGACAAAAACGTAATATATAGTAGTAGAGTTCAGAAATCTTTATCAAGAAATGTACTAAATACAGAGAGGAGAGACAGAGAGAGAGAGAGAGAGAGAGAGAGAGAGAGAGAGAGAGAGAGAGAGAGAGAGAGAGAGAGAGAGAAAGTCAGAGAGATACAGAGAGAGATCAACAGAGATAGTGAGAGAGAGAGAGACACACACACACATACACAAATTTTTCTCACCTTGAAACTGTAACGCACAATATTTTGCGGGGCATGAGGATTGTTAGCAGTCAAAATTCGTGTATATTCTACTTTGAGCTCCTGAAAGAAACATCAGTCAATTTAATATCAAAACAAATAAGATTTTTATTGTTTAACTAAAAAGTAGTAACGTCACAATATCTGTGGTCGTTAATACCAGCATCTACGTGGCACTTACCAAGGCTGGCACCTGATGCCAATTCAAAATTTTACGCTGAAAGGCAAAACAGGACTAGAGAAGAAGAAAAAGAAGAGTAAAAAGGAAATATTTTAAAGATTTGAATATGTGATTTAGTGTATGCAAAACCCCTGGACACTTACTAAACAAGCTGAACAGTGCATAAATGCCTTTGAATACAAATGTTATAGACAGGTTTTAAGAATATCATGGATTAAAAAAAAAAGAATAAATGCATGCATACTTCAAGAACTGAATACTGAAGAAGGTTGGCTGTTAAAGATGATAAAACACAGAAAACTTAAATATTTTGGTCATTTGAAAAGTCATGAAAGTTTAGAGAGAACAATAATGGAAGGTTATACACCTGGGAAGAGAGGAAGAGGAAGGCCAAAGATGGGTGAAGGATGTGGCGGATGATCTCCAGATGGGTGTATCAGATGTGGGACATCTTGCTTGTGATTGACAAGTTTTCCAGAAGGTTGTTATGGGAGCAAGGTTCTGCAAAGGACATGCTACTGACTGACTGACTGACTGACTGACTGACTGACTGACTGACTGACTGACTGACTGACTGACTGACTAAAAACACAGTATAATGTCAAAAGAACATATAATTAGAATTAAATTAATTTGGCATCTCTTTTTCTTTTTTCTGTCCTTTATCTCCGACTAGTATAGAGACTCCCAGTAAGCAAACATGAAGCACTATGTAGACTAGTTTATTACTAGTCAAACTGTACAAATTAAGTCTTTGAAGGGATGAGCTAGGCAGTCCCACACCACCACTTCTTAGTTACTTCTTACAGCATGCATGCTAGACCACAACATTACTATTCTCTGCTTCTTTTATAAGTCCATGTAACACATAGGTAAATTTGCCATGAGTGTGATTGACAAAGAGTACTGAAGATGCCTTGAAAGAAACTGACTCATGGAGAGAACGGATTGCCCACATCGGAGGGAGACAATCTACATTCTTTGGTCATGTCATGAGAAGAAGAAAACTGGAGTAAATTGTGATGGTGGGAAAGTTGGAGGGGAAAAGAGGGACACAGAGGCTGACAGAGAAGATGCTGAACAGTTTGGCATCATGGCATGGAAGATCACCTGTGCCAGAATTGACTGAAAGAACATGAGATAAAATGTTGTGGAAAATGACTACCAATGCCATATGGCATGGACTATAAGAAGAAGTGATTGTTAAATTTAATATGACAAAATCGTACTTGACAGCAGAGTTCAGAAATCTTGCTCAAGAAATGTATTTTTATTTACTTACCTTGTTCACTTTTAATTTTTTTAAAATTTTAGAAGAAATGTTCAGTATATTTAGGGTGACCATTATTAGGTTGACAGATTATCCTCACTGCGCATCAAGCCATTCAGTCCATAAGCACTCAGATATTCTCCTTAGTAAATCCCCTAGCATGTCATAGCTGACAACACCAGTTCTGTTTTAGTTTCTTATTCTTTCTTTGGCTTTCTGCATAGCGCTCATTTTCGCCACAACCTCCTTTAACTTGTTTTTCTAGAAGTCTGGTCAAGGTTACAGATTCACTTGACTTGGTTCTAGAAAACATGCCTTACCTGCAAGTCTATCAGCCTGCTCATTTCCCAACATGCCTGCATGCCCTGGCATGAAAATGAAACTGATTTTGTCAGAAACAACTGCTTCAAAGGCTCCAGCCACTGTCTTTGGGCTCAGCCCATCTTTATCTTCCTGAGCATACTCATTGAGTTACTAAGAAAGCATGCCAATGTTTTTGCTTTGGTCATTGCCATGATCTCCATTGTCAAAAAAAAAAAGGTTTCTATGTTTAAAATGTATAATTTCTGTTCAAACACATTTCATAATGACTGTTACAAAAACAAACAGCAAGAGGAGCAGACAAAATTTTAAAGACAAGAAGAACCAGCAAGAACAGAGAGAATTACTTACAGCCTCAGACAAGTCTAACTGATCTTCGGGCTTCAGCAATGTTTTTGCCTGAAACAAATTTGCAATTTTGTATATGTATGTTTGTGTGTGTATGTGTGTGTGTGTGTGTATGTGTGTGTATATGTTTGTGTGTGTATGTGTATGTGTGTATATGTTTGTGTGTGTATGTGTGTGTATATGTTTGTGTGTGTATGTGTGTGTGTGTGTTTGTGTGTATGTGTGTGTGTATGTTTGTGTGTGTATGTGTGTGTGTGTATAAAATAAATATGTACACATACATACATACACACATACATACATACACATACAAACAATTACATATACATGTGTAAATAAATATAAGTGGACTGGCTAGCATGCTCAACTACTTGGCCAGTGGTCCAGTGTTCAAATACCCTTTGACAAGAGATAATTATTTTAGTAATTGGGTTACTAGGTAGAACAGGCTAATATGGGTTTAAGGAAATTATTTTGGAAGCAAAAGCATTGTTGCAATGTGTTGCTCACCACACTCTTTTGAGTTCTTTCTTCTTTTCTGAAGTCCTGATGTATGTCTGACCCATTTAATCTATTATCTTTAGATGTAGATTAGCACTGGCTCTGTCCCAGCTTGATTCCTGATATATATTTCATTCATGTCTCTTTTAATTTGTCTTTTCCTTTTTATGTTAGCATCAATGTTTGGCTCAGGTAACATAATGTTGGTCAAATACTGTATTTAATAGTGCTGCTCTGGTAGTGTCAATTGTCACTCAATATGGCTGAGAGCAAATTGTTCTGAGAAAATGGAGCTACCCACATTGACCTAATATGTCTCAAAGAATGTACAGGATTTACCAAACCTATATAAAAAATTAAACAGATAATTGCACATTTCTTCTTGTGGTTCAACTATTTGTCTATCTGTATACACAAATTAACTGACAACACCTTGAAGGTAAAAATTAATTATCTCTACAAGTGTACATGAATTAACTAACCATTCTATATGCACAAATTAGCTAATCTCTCTGTGTATATGTAAATTCACATACCTCTTGTATAAATAAATTAATTGTATCTTTCTGTGTACAAAAAATATGTTTCCCCTTGTAGACAAAAATATTAACTGTATACATATATCAACTTAATCTTCCTTTGTATAAATAAATAATTGTATCCTTATGTGCACAAAAATTATCTGTTTTTCCTTGTAGACATAAATATTAACTGACATTCACTATATACATAAATCAACTTAATCTTCCTTTGTATAAATAAATTAATTGTATCCTTATGTGGACAAGAATTATCTATCTCCCCTTGTAGACAAAAATAGTAACTGATATTCACTGTATACATAAATCAACTTAATCTTCCTTTCTGTAACTGAATGAACTATAAATAAATTAACTTATCTGTACTTAAAGATACATATTTCGATATAAACATGTTTTTCCCCCCAGCTGGGACTGCACACTGGAAGCTGACACTTGGTAACTCAAAGAGCCACTACTTGGATGTGAAGCCAAGAAGAAAATCCCAGAAAGCCTGTTCAACCATCTAAAGCGGTTATACTGAGACATCCTATGGTTACAAGTACTCCGATGTGAGCTGGTTATATGTTAAAGTTGCTTCAACAGTGGACACTGAACATAATATCAGAGAATCTCTACAAAAGTATGATGTGTCTAGCGTTGAGGAACCAGAAAAGTAAGAGCAGAACCTTGTCCTCTTTGACAACAGGAAGCGGTAAAAGAAGAAGAACACTAAAGTGTTCCTTTGTCTATGAAGGTACTATGAAGCAGAACCTTTGATAACAAGTTGAAAGTTTCACAGTCATGTTACCATGCTTATATTCATAACCTCTGACAACACTGATTGTTTCTAAAGTAAAAGATTCTTCTGCTTCTTCTTCTTCGCGTTCACCAGCTGTGAACTCCGGCAGAAAGTTCTGGTTGTTTGTCCAGGTCTGGACTTTAGTCTTGTATCAGAACCTGAGTGTTTTGTGCATATCCTTCTTTTAAAGATATGACATATTTTTAAGCAAAGTGGGATTCCTTGCCTCTCAGGCAGATGGACTTCGACTTCAAAGGAAACCCCCAATTAGTCAATTCATAGACATGCTTTTGGGAAGGCAGTTAGTCTATTCTCCTTTTTCCCACAATGGGGCCCCGGAACCCACATAGGGAAGTAAGGACAAGATTAAATCACATTCTTCACATTACTATTTTCTATTTGATGCAGAGATGCTGAACCAGGCACAGTGGTGGTGAATAGGGTTAGGGCTCATACTGGTCACAGCTATTTATGGCTCTATGTCGTCCTAGAAACAGGTTTGCATCTGAAAGCCTGGTCAGCATAGGCAGGATCAACATTTCTTTATATGCTGGAGTGCATCTGCCTGAGAGGCAATGAACCAGCAGTCTGCATACAAATAAGTCACATCTGAAAAATAAATGTGCATGCAAAACTCAAGTCCTGGTATAAGACCAAAGTCTAGAAGTGCATGAACAACCATGACATTTTTCCAGATTTCACAGCCAGTGAATGCTAACTAAGAAGAAGAAGACTATTTTCTATCAATTGTAAAACTTCATGTCAAATCAACAGATTAGATTTAGTATATTACTCAACACAAGATTAGATTTAGTATATTACTCAACACATTGCCAAGTCAGCACAGTCACCAGACTGCCAGGGCTGAGATAAATAATCAGTTTGAATCTCCATTAAAATTAATTTTTTATCTGACATTGATTCCCAGATTAACTTAACCTAAAATGGGAACCACTTTCTTTTGGACATTTCCGTTCTGCAGTCCATTTGTTTCCAATTTTAGCACATGTTTGATGATAGAGTTCACTTAATTTTTACCCCTGGACAATTTTGTTCACAATCACAAATAATCATGACAATACACTGTTTTCAAATGTTACCTGCACCCACTCTTCTTGCTCC